TGTCATAGTTATTATTATTACGATCACAGTGACCTCTGAAATAAGGAGATATGTGAATAACCATTCCTTCCCTGTGTAGTGGCCTTTTTATCTCAACGTGTGATCCAGAACTAAATCTAGGCCAGAGCTTATCACAATCTAAAGGCTCATTTTTGCAAGTACAAGAATAGCATCGTGTTGGCTAGACCAGTGATTGGCAAACTGTGGCTCGCGAGCCACACGCGGCTCTTTGGCCCCTTGAGTGTGACTCTTCCACAAAATACCACGGTCTGAGCTAGTCTATTTTGAAGAAGTGGTGTTAGAAGAAGTTTATGTTTAAAATATTTGGCTCTCCAAAGAAATGTCAATCGTTGTACTGTTGATATTTGGCTCTTTTGACTAATGAGTTTGCCAACCACTAGGCTAGACACATAAGACATAGTTTGAGACTTAGAAATGGCAGACATGCCAAAACTGATTTGGCTCAGTGGATAGCGCATCAGCCTGCGGGCTGAAAGGTCCGGGATTCGATTCTGGTCAAGAGCAGGCACCTTGGTTGAGGGCACATCCCCAGTAGGAGGTGTGCAGGAGGCAGCTGATTGATGTTTCTCTTTCATCAGTGTTTTTAACTCTCTATCCCTCACCTTTCCTGTCTGTGAAAAATCAATAAAATATTTAAAAAAGAAAAGAAATGGCAGACATTTTAGTTCTAAGTGAATCTCAACAACAATAGAAATGGCATCTGAGGTTAAAAGGATGTTCTTCCCACCAGAGGAAAAAACAAAGGGATATAAGCTAGAAACCAAGTTGCATTCCCTAGTGGGTTCACGATACATCTTCTGTCTTTGTTGGGGCAAACTTTTGTCTATATTAATCCATGCTCCCCTTCCTCCCCTTTCCTCTCCTCCCTTTGCATCTCTTTTTCATCCTGCTTTCCTTTCTGAAGCACACGTGAAAGGGCTTCTTGGTGCCAAACACTCGGTGAGGCATAGGGATATAAAATGAACAAATAAGACAAACCCCCATTCTTTCATAGACTGTATATTCTAGCTTGGGAAGTGACTTAAACATATAAATAAGTCATTTGGCGAGTTCATCGCTGATCATGAACTCAAAGAAGCCAATTCTTAGGACAAATGGCAAATCTTTCTACTGTCTTAAGTTGATACCTGAAACAGAGAAGGATTCTGTGTGGTAGAGAGATTGATAGCTCATAGCAACAGAAAAATAATTCTATAAATTTGAATTATAGCAAACAAGAGGACAGCAAAACTTGTCTGTTCTGAAGTCCAGAGTTCTGTTCTAGCATTCCTGTGAGGATAAAACAAGAAGTAGAAAGGGTTCTTATCTCCTATGCTCTGTCTTTTTCTTATTGAAAATGTTCTGGCATCAAGGACTTGATGACTGTGCTCCATGGGCAATCTTCTTTTTTTATATAAATATCTTGACTGTGTTCATGTCCCATAGTCTGTTAAGTGAATGATCTCTGTCATAACATTTATCATTAAAACTAGAAGTCTGATCCTCATGGGTAAGACCAGAATCCTGATATGCAATGGAAATGGGTCCGGCTGGTATGGCTCAGTGGTTGAGCAGTGACCCATGAACCAAGAGGTCACCAGATCAATTACCTGTCAGGGCACATGCCAAGGTTGCAGGCTCGATCCCCAGTCAGGGGCGTGTAGGAAGCTGCCAATTGATGTTTCCCTCTCATCCATGTTTCATTTTCTATATCCCTCTCCCTTCCCCTCTCTCACAAAATGTGTGTGTGTGTGTGTTGTGTGTGTGTGTTCAAGAAAGAAAAAGATAAGGAAATGTGGTCAGGCTCAGATAGGTTCACTGGGAAATTCTACCAAATATTTAATGAAGAAATTATACTAAGTCTGTGCAATCGCTTTTAGAGGATAGAAACAGAGGAAACATTTCCAAAATCATTCTATGGGGCCAGCCTTACCCTAACATCACTAATTTTCAACACTGTACTAGAAGCTCTTACTATTGCAATAAGACAAGAAAAGGAAATAAAAGATATGCAGATTGGGAAGGGAGACATAAAACCTTTTACTGTATTCTTTTTGGCAGATGACAGAGTTGTCTATGTAGAAAGTCCAAAAGCAACACACACACACACACACACACACACACACACACAAAACATATCCTCAGAATATAAGGTCAATTGTTTTTCTACATAATGACAACTAATTTAAAATTACAGCGCAACGTCTTTTACATTAGCACCCAAAATGAAATACTTAGGCATAAATCTATCAAAACATATACAAAAGCTATATGACAAAGCTATAAACCTTTAATCAATGAAATCAAAGAGTAAATAAATGGAGAGATATCCCATATTCATGGACAGCAAATCTCAACATTGTTAAGATATTCATTTTCCCTATAGACTGAAATCAAAATCTTAGCAAATTATTTTTTATCAACAAACAAATTAAAAAATGTAAATGGAGAGGAAAAAGACCCAGAATAACCAGTATACTATTGAAAGAGAGGAAGAAACAGCTAACATTCTGCTTTCATTAGAGCACACACAAGTGTAACTGCGCCAGCATTTATACAAAAATATCTCCATTTCACTCCTACCCATTTATGTTTCAGCAAAAGAACCCAGGTTGGCCCTTTATTGATTATCTAATTGAGACTCTATTTCTTTCTGTATTGTGACAGCTTTAGTTTTTAAAAACTCAACTCCACTAAACTGGTATTTCTTGAGCAACTACTGTATACATGCTTCAATTACTATATGCATTTCTCTCCATTCCATTTCTTTTTTTACAACAGTCCCAGAATATACTTTCTAAAATACAAATCAGATAAATTTGTATCTGTCGACTTGGAAATGATAGAACTAAAATGAATGCATGTAGAGGCAGACATTCAGATGCTGGGTAAAATGTCAATATTAAGCATTGCTGAGAACACTTCATTAAGCAAATGGCCATCTATGTCAATGAGACTTAAACATACCGAAAACCCCTGACTTAGCAGGGGGCCTGTGTTACCCAGATCTCACGATAATTTATTCTTAAGATAGGAATTACTGACATGACATCCCCATGCTTCCTTTTAATTAGGTTGAAAATAAAAAATCTGTCTTCTAAAATGAATTGTGAAATACTTTCATGCTGGGATTAGCCTCTGTGACTTTTTCTCCTTGTATGTAGCTCAGTGCCTGGCACAGAGTGACTGCAGAGTGGATGTTGGCTCAACCAATGTCTCTATGACATTGGGACTGGTGGACTAAAGATCCCAGTGAAGAGTCAGTCAAGGAACAAAAGAGAACGTGATTCAGCTCATTCTAAACAGTCAACACGTTTCTGTTTTATGGAAGCCCTTGTGCCATAATTATTGCCATTGAACAAAGTAAAGATTCACTGTATCTGACAATGGCTTTGAGATTGAGGTCCAATTCTGACCCTGTGACTGTGACTTTGGCCAAGTAATAGGACATCTTATTTTTTCTTTCTTTTTTCCTTAAAAGGCCAGCATTCTGCCATTTCTCCAGGGTCATCAGGAGACCAGAGGAGATGAAGGTTATGGCAGGCTCCCTTCCTCACTGGGGAAGAATATGCAATGATGCCCTAATTAGTGCATCTTAGAAGCGTTCTTTCTTATTTCCAAGTCTAAATTTAATTTCAAGCCCATGACCTATTTATGTGTAAATACATGACTTTCCTCACTTTTAAATGTGTGAGGATTTTACTCTTTGGATCCCAAGAAAGCAAAGAGGGGCTTTAAATGTTTAATTTAATTAATAATTGACTTAATGGCACGGCATGGACATTTATCTCAATAGTGCTGAAAACTCATGAATCAAGATACTATATGTGCATGTAGCTGCATATTAAAATTTTTCTACCTGGAAATTTGCAGGCTAAAACCACCAGGTACAGCAACATACACACAAATGATATTGATTTTTATGTGTGGTAATTTTCAAGTGTGCTATCCAACTAGCCTGTGGATTATAAAATGTAACTAACAAAATGGCTTTACTCTATAAGGACATTATTAAAATTAAAAAACAAAAAAGATTTATCTTCATTTGCAAAAACTATTATTTAATGAAATTATGGTTCAAAAATCCATACTACCAGACCCAGAGTTATTAGTGGTAATAATAAGAAGTCGTATTACATATAATATGACAATGTATTATATTAAAATACATAATAATATCTTTGTAATGAACTCTAGTGGGTAAATGTCAGTATCTGTTTTAAAAATGAGGAATCTAATAGCAACTATAATAATATCTATCCATTAAATTCTTACCATGTGTCATACACTGCATGGCTGGTATTTATTGCTTCAGCGGATTTTAACCCTAGGAGGTAGATTCTGTACCCATTTTATAGATGTGCAAGTTGAAATTTAGACGGATGGATAAACCAAGAATCATTTAGCTACTATGAATTCACTACAGTGAATACATAGTAGCTAAATTTTTTCTTAAATTTGATATTGCAATTGGCTGAATGCATAGGCACTCATCACCCCAACCCCAGGATAAAAGCAGGAAGCAGACCCTGGCTAGTTTGACTCTGTAGATAAGAGTGTCCACCTGCAGACTAAATGGTCCCAGCTTCAATTCCAGTCAAGGGTACATATGCAGGTTGCGGGCTCCATCCCCAGTAGGGGGCGTGCAGGAGCCAGCCAATCAATGATTCTCTCTCATCATTGATGTTCCCCTCTCTTTTTCCCTCTCCCTTCCTCTCTGAAATCAATAAAAATACATTAAAAAAAAAAAAAAAGGCAGGTGGCAGGCCAGCTGTTAAAAAGGTGATGCTGTACAAAGGGGCTGCAATTTGTTTTAATCAACATCAACATCACAGCCGTGCTTGCCATGTACCTCGCACGGCACAGAAAGAACACATTCAAATATTATTGATACAGGCAGTAAAGTACTTAACAGTAACATTTCATACTCCAAATCCCAAGAAAAGTGTTCCCCTGAAGCAATAACATGGTGAAGAGAATTCAAAATGTAGTTCACAAACCTGTTTCGGGCTCAATGGAAAAATAAGGCTGTCCCTCCAAGATACTGTACACCAACTTGGCACTGTTGCCATAAACTGGGTCATCAGCATCGGTGGCTGTTACATTAGTGACAGATGTACCTAAAAAAGAAAGAGAGAGAGAGAAAGTGAAAAAGATAATAATTAACACATGGTTCTTGTCAAGAGCTAAAATTTGCTAAGCATACCCTACAGAAATCCATGTGTGGGACTAAGGAAGAAAAGAAATCTTTTTTAGGATAAGGAGATAACTACTCCATCATAACTTCAACAGTATCCAAGTTTTTCAAAAGAAAAAAAAGCACTGTGGGGTTGAAGTACTATATAAAGATAGCCCTTTTAAATCCATATTCTTGAAGATGTCTTTGTAGTGTTCATTTGAAAGCTACCCATCTGACTCATGTAGGCATGGAGACTATTGAAAAGGAAGCATACCAAAGAAATAGGAGACATAAGCTTAATAATACAATAGCGCATGCGGCATTGAAGTTTTGCAAAAAGCACAACTGAAAATATTTTTACAATGGCTGCTGGGAAAAGCTGTAGAGAGATATCAAAGGGAGAGTTTACCCATCTTATCCCATCCCTCAGAATATAAAATTAGATCGGGACCACCAATTCATCAGAGCGCTTAGGGAATGAGGCCTTCTAGATAACAGAAGCACACCTTTTAATTTTTTCAGGATACGTTATCTTTTATTCTTGTCATTCATTCAGCAGGTAAGCACATATGGCCTGCCTGATATAAAGCATATATTAGGTGTCTCTGGCCAGGCTACAGTTCACATGGGAAGACACCAGTCAGTCACAAAGTCATGAGAATGCCACACAAGCCTGGATGGAGGCCCAGGAATCATATAGGAACCTGGGGCAGGTCCCCTGCACATATATATATATATATATAAAATCGACAGGCAAGAAGCTAATAGTTTGGTGGGGGAGGAAAAAGTAGGGGCAGACAGCTATCCAGAGGAATTCAGCTGAAAACAATAGCACCAGGTTTCGACCCCACACTTAGTCCAGAAGAAGGAGTGGCTAAGGACATAGCCTTTGAGTTAAATTATTCAAGACAGGCCAAGTTTAACCAGAAGTAGAGGGACTTGGGAGACATTCTGAGCAATCCGTCAAATACAAGTGAAGGCAAAAGACTGAAGAGAGACAGATGGTGGGTGATTCTGCCAATGGCTGAAACTGGGGAGAAACTGGAGATGTCTGGTGAGATCACAGCATCATGTTCTACAAGGGCAGGGTCGGGGTCTTCCTGATCCAGGAAGTGCAGGACAGATAGTCATTAGCAAACGTATACTGGCTCATGGTATGAGTGGATGGATGAATAAGTCATGTGCCGATTTCATGAGGGAAGCGTCACAGAAGAATGGAGAGTCTGAGATGGAAGAGATCTCTTGCAGAATTTGTGTTGGGGAACCCTCTTTGATCAGTATCTTGGGGAGGCAAAAGGGTGATATTGAGCTGACCGTCATTCCGTCACTTGGGCTGTGATGCCATCAAAGGTCTCTGTGGACTTCCCTGGGGACTCTAGAGCTAGGATGTCATTGAGGAAATGGGGCCAAGCTTTTGGACCCCGGGACTGACCAGCTGTTGGCTGCGGCAATGCCCCTGGAGAATCAGCCCTGAGCTATCAATATGAATAATCCCAGCTGTGAGGGCAAGAGTGTTTCCAGCCAGACAGAAGTCATAGGTAGATCTCAGCAGCATCCGTCTGTGTTTACTGAAATGAGGCAGAGCTTTTCCAAGATCGTGTCAAGTCAAAACCTTTTTGGTAGCATTTCTGATGACGGATGCTACCCAGGAAAATGTAACAATAATATTTGTTGAGCAGTTGATAGGCCTGTCAAATTGGAATTTCTACTCAGAAGGATGATTCGGAAGTTCTACAAAATCTACATTAGAAAAAAAAAATGCACTGAATGTTTTTCTGCCTGACACTGGGAACCATATAGAAAAGCAAACTTAAGACTCATGTTCAAAAGCAACTCATCAACTAGCTAGTTAAAGTAAGCACGTGAAAGTACAATGGGTAGACTGTACTTATTTGAATACTGTGTGGGATGGAGAAGAATTAGAGGAAAAACTTTCCAGGTGAGAGGAGGATAGTGAGATAAAAGTCCCAAAATACTTTTTTAAGAGCAGATATGACTGGAAGAGTCAGCCATCAAAGCTAAATTTGGAGACGCACACTGGGAATAAGATGCAGGGGGCATTTTTTGTTGCTGTTAATCATCACCTGAGGATATTTTCCCACTGAATTTTAGAGAGAGAGGAAGGGAGCAGGAGAGACAGAGAGAGAAATGTCAATGTGAGAGAGATGCATATATAGATTGCCTCCCATATGTGCCCCCACCATCTGGGCACCAGTCTTCACTCTTCACCATATAAGTGTTACTTTCTACGGTGATTACTTGGAGGAACTCTTACTCAGATGTGTTAGTAAAATGAAGTGTGTGTGTGTGTGTGTGTGTGTGTGTGTGTGTGTGTGTGTGTATGTGTGTGGACTATTCACACATAATAAAGAAGCATGGAGATGATTTCTTGTTAAGTGAGAGTTGGAGAAAGTCCCTTGGGAGTTGACAACCGCGAGACTGGTCATCAGCATGTCTGTTTTCGCTGATTATTGTAATGGGATGCTAGTGAGAGGCATGCCCTGGTTACATCAGCAAACGCTGAGGTGGGAGGAAGGAGATAAATCTCTGTCATTTGCATGATGGGTGAGTCAGTCTTTTTCATGCGTGAAGATGGTAATTTTTATTTGCAAGTCTCAAAAGAGTTGTGCGGGGATCAAATGAGATAATATTAAGTGTAAGAAAGTGGCTGAGGAGATCATTGGGAGGCAAACTGTCTTGAACCAGATCATTTGCTTTATATTCCACTCCCCACTCTCATTCGCCCTGCATCCTTGGCCAGGTCACAAAACATGTCTGAGCTTCAGGGCCTTTGTTTCTAAAAAAGGAAGGTGGTAGTCACAGCCTAAAATGAAATGATTTATGCAAAAGATAAAGAAGAGTTATCAATAGGATATTACTGAGATCTTCCTATCACTATTATTATAAGTACATTATATGTGGGAGATTAAATAATAAACTAATTTTATTCCAGGGTGGTGTGGCTCATTGAGCATTCACAGTTCAGTTCGCAGTCAGGGCACAACACTGGGTTTCAAGCTCGATTCCCCGTGGGGGAGTGCAGGAGGCAGCCAATCAATGATTGGCTCTCGTCATTAATGTTTCTATTTCTCTCTCCCTCTCCCTTATTCTCTGAAATCACCAAAGATATCTTTTTAAGAACAAACCAATCTTAATTGGTGGTGATGTCATTTATAACTAAGTGTAGTCCTGCTTAATTATTTTCATAGTAGGATATTTTCTTACATTTTGGGGTGGAAACACAAAAAGACATTCCCAAAGGTAACGATACGTTCCTGTCCTTTTGAAAAAGAAGACACACACACAAACACAATCTCACACACTGTCCCATCCCTCCCAGCTCCTGTCAGCTTCCTCTGCCGTAAAAGGGCTTTGGGCTCCAAAGTCAAATGCGTTTTGACGTGCTGAGCACAAAGTCAGGCACCAGGCACAAGGTCAACGTCAGTTTCTCCAAGTTATCTGGATGGAGGCCGTGGCCATCTCTTGGCCCATGCAAATCCCACACACAGGTGCCGAGATGAACCACTGGGCTGGGGACCGCAACAGAAGGCAGGTACGCTTCTTCCCGCATCCTCACCCAGGATGTTCCTGCCTGATGCCCGGCTTCTCAGGAAACCCGTATCTTTCAACGGTAGACATCTGAAAAGGCAGCGTGACTTCCCTTCCAGGATAATATTCCTTCTAATAGGGGCTCAGGACTGTCCACGCACCTGCACGCGGGCAGAGTCGATGCGTGTGGAGGTTTTGTGGATGCATTTGTCAAGGGATTACCCGGAGTTGGGAAGAATGCATGCTTTGAGGTTAATCTTGTGGCCGAAACGATTCAAGCAGCAGTATAGGCTTCTCCCTGGGAAATGCATGCAGAATGCACACCACAGAGGCAAATTGAAAAGTGGAAACCTTGCAAGATCGTGTGTCTTCAAAGCGGCGAGTGTTGGTGCGTGATAAATGGGACCCTGGGTAAGGCCCACCACACAGAACAGGATTCTCTGTTTGTGTTTTCATTGGGAACTGTTTCTGTCCCTTTGTTGGGGATACAAGAGGTTCATTTAGCGGCCGACGATGAATTTGACACCGTGCCATTGCTCCGAGAAAGCCCCTATTATAATCCGACTCGATGCTGATCCTATTATAATAATCTCGCTGTTGTGTTTCCAGCTGCTGTCAACCAAAATGATCCCCGTCACCGCCATTCATCCTGCCAGCAACAAGTCAAGTAGGAACGGGTCAATGCCAAGGTGGATTCTGCTTTTCATAGACCCGATTTTTCTGCATTTAGTTTCTTTTCTTAAAAAAAATATATTTTATTTATCCCTTAGAGAGAGGAAGGGAGAAGGATAGAGAGCTAGAAACATTGATGAGAGAGAAACACCGACCAGCTGCCTCCTCCATGCTCCCCACCGGGGATGTGCCCTCAACCAAGGTACATGCTCTTGACTGGGAATTGAACCCGGGACCCTCCAGTCCACAGGCCAACGTTCTATCCACTGAGCTAACCCAGTTTGGGCTGCGTTTCGTTTCTTGGTTAAATGAGATCAGCCAGCGTACTGCTCAAACTGCAATGAACACAGGGCTTATGGCATCAGCTGCTTCTTGCAACACCTTCAAGTTTGTTCCCTTTAACAGTGGGACCCTCCCATCCTCTCCCCCACTCCCCCCCCCCACCTAAAAATGAAAGCCAAGGCTACAAGCCACATTAACCACCAATATTTTGACAGTGTCAGGTTAGACATTCCCGTCGGCTGACACACTAAGGCAAAGGGTCTGGGAGAAAATAAGACACTGGGTTTGGGGGAGCACCGCTCCGCCAGCGAGGCCCTCCTTTCTGTATGGGCACGTCAGCACACTGATTCTGCACATCATTCAGAAAGAAAGATGCTGCTGTGGACCCCCTGAGCGGGGAAACAAAGGCTGGGCACGGCGTGAAAACTCGCGCATTGG